TGGGTGATGGAATCGTCCGAGGGGGTGCAACAGGGTGACCCTTTGGGNCCGATGTTGTTTGCTCTGACCCTACACCCGGTGTTGGAAAAATCTCTTTCAAAATTCGTTTGCGGCTACCTGGACGATATCAGTTTGGCCGCCGAGGGTGCAATTTTAGCTACTGATTTCCTGTCTTTAAAAGACAATGCCTCCATCATTGGGCTTGAGCTTAATATTAAAAAATGCGAATTGTACGCAAACGACTCTTTTGAAATGCCACAGACACTGGCGGAAGTGCCCTTAGTGTCTGAGGCATCATTGAGCTTCTTGGGCACCCCATTGATGGAGGGTGAGTTTCAAAACACTTTTTTTAATAAAAAACTCGCAGAGCTGAAATTTGCCCTCGACCGAGTGTCTCATCTTCCGGTCCACGACGCGCTGACCATCGTCCGCAACGCCCTTAGTTTGCCTAGATTGATGTATTTCCTTCGTACATCCTTCTCGGTTGATGCATCCATTTTGGGCGGATTCGATGGCGCCCTGAGGTCAGCTTTGTCAGCCCTATGCAATGTTGAGTTGACAGACAGGGGCTGGTCTCAGGCCCAGTTGCCGGTTCGGTTTGGGGGACTGGGGTTGTTAAGCGTGGTCCAGCTGGCACCTATTGTTTACAAATCATCTGCCGCTGCCACGCTCGACCTGCAGTCTGCCCTGCTCCGGCAATCTTTCACGAATCTTGGTACCCTACCAGCATCACCCAACCGAGCAAAACATTTTCAAGCTCGGTTGCTGGAAGAGGCATACAAAACAACTTTTCAGTTTTTGTTGTCCTCTAGTCCCCACGATGCAACTTCGGCTCGTCTGCTGGCCGCGTCAAGCGACGCGAGCTGCGGTTGGTTGAGATCCTGGCCCAACTCATCGGTGGGTACCCGACTGGATGATGAGACGGTCAGGATGGCCATTGGTTTTCGTCTGGGTTTAACGGTCCACCATAAATATCTGTGTAGGTGCGGTGCGGAAGCTAACGAACTCGGTCACCACGGCCTGGTCTGTCGTTTAGGTGGAGGTCGTCAGTTGCGCCATTCCGCATTAAATGATTACATCTGCCGGCTTTTCTCCAAGGCTTCAATACCCGTTCTTAAAGAGCCCTCGGGAATTTCCGCGTTGGATGGAAAACGTCCGGATGGCTGCACGTTGATTCCTTGGAGAGCCGGTAGATGCCTGGCGTGGGACGTAACCGTTCCGGGCACATTAGCGGAACGGTACGTGCACTTAACCAGCAAAGAAAGTGGTTTGGCCGCAACCAGGGCATCGGATGAAAAGTTTAAAAAATATGAAGGTGCCCTGCCCTCGATGGATTTTTTACCTGTTTGCATCGAGGTTCTTGGCCCGATGGACAACAACACTTCAATATTTTTTAAAAAGATTTGCAAAATGATAAGTGGCAGGTCCGGCGACAGCAGAGAGCTATTTTTCGCCATGAATCATATATCTTGTTTGCTGCAAAGGTTTTTGCGCGTCTGTGTTACCGAAAATGTTCAATTAAACGCCGACGTGAGCGAATAACGAGATATCAATTGTTAACCGATTTTTTCAGATGTTTGACTGTTTAGTGTCACTCATCGCTGATTTGGTTTTAACATACATATATGTTTGTGTGTGTGTAATGTGTGTTTAATATTTACAATCATTATTCTTTGCTTAGTTATCAGCTATATATATATATATAAATCAATTGCTGTTCGTTAGTCTCGCTAAAACTCAAGAACGGCTGAACGGATTTGCATTATCTTGGTCTACAAATCTTCGTTGAGGTTTAGGGAAGGTTTAAAAGGTGAGAAAAGTCGAATAATTGCCGGGAAAACCCTAAAAGTATCATATAATATTCTATAAAATTAACTTTTTCATTAAATATATTTCGTTTTTCTCTTATAAAAATGTCTGTTTTTACCTATTTAAAATTTTATTTGAGACAGAAATTGTAAAGTTAACTTAAATTAGTTATACAACACTATAATTGTGATTCGACCAACAAAGGAAGTTTAACGAAGGCAGCCAAAAGGTTTAAAAAATGCTGTGACTTCAATATTGAACTCCGACAAAGTTGTTTTTTTGGTTTGTAATAATATGCTATTTGTAGCGATTTTAACTTGTCGATTAACTGTATTTAGCATCAATATTGGTTCGGTTTTGAAGATTTTATTAAACAATTTTACAAAAGAAATATCAATATATGAAACAAATTGACAACATAAAATTAATGAAAAAAATTTACAAAATATAATTAATATATTAGGAATGTTTGCCAAATAATAAATGAATGGTTAGAAACTGCTTATTTGTTACAAATCTCTATTCAGTATGTGCTTGTTAACTAACGCGTGTTATTACTTAAATAGTGTTACCTGTTAATATAACTCATGCATTTCTAAAAATGTTTGGATATTATATGAAAAAAGCACGAGGCGGTAATGTACCACTGGTTGAGATAACTGCAATTGAATCTTCATAATATTACATTAGTCACGAAACTTGAAAAAAATAAATTGAAATTCAGTAAAAATTTGAAATTATCAGGTACTATTTTATAAACTTTTTTGATTATTTCAGAATATTTCAAAAACATTACACAACAACTGTTAATTAAATATTTATATTTTTAGAAAATTAACTTATGCGTTTCTTTTGCTGATATGTACTTGTAATTTTGAACGCGCTTTTGGTTGGCAACACCAAGTAAAGTAGTTATCATAATAATTTAATAATAAAAATATAAAATACAGTTTATATATATATATATATATATATATATATATATATATATATATACTATATGTATATATTCATACTGTATATATAGTGTGTTGATGCGTCTATTATGAATGTGTGATCGTATACTCGTATATAAGGTTCAGTAAAAAACTTTTGTGAAATATAATATATATTAAAATAATTTAACAAAAACCCGAATCGTAAAACCTTTAAAAAATGTGACTAACACTTTTCTTAATACATTTCTAAACAGGCACGAAGAAATATTGGGGCACTTAAAAATATTGCAATATAAGCTACGCAATTTTGTTAAAAATAGTAATTACAATTAGTTCAAATAAATTTAAATAAATGTATAAAAAATAATACTTTTATGAAAAACAAACAATTGACAATACTGATTAAAATATCAAACTTAAACCATTGATTCAATGTCTAATATTTCTGGAGACTTCAGAAGGTAGCCCTCAGCAGAAATTGTTGCATAAACCGAAACAGAATCAGGGCGATGTGAATCTATTAAATATTTAATTATCAGCTGTAAATTTTGGGCATTAAAATCTGCTACTATAATTAAAGACCCAAAATAATCAGAAATATCTTCGTGATAAGATCCATTGAAGGCCATTATCCTATTCTCATCCAATTTAAATATAACACTAGATGTGCAGTTATAATTTACAATTACGCCCACTATGCAAAATTCGTAAAGTTCTCTGTTTACACTATCTACCAAGCTGTCTATAGTATTTCCAACCTCAAAAAATGACAAAAGAGGTTGTAACAAAGTCGGGAACAAGGCATGGGTATCGGTGTAAGGCGCTGGTGACATAGCCACAGATTTATTAGCAGCTTCTAACACACATCTTTCTACTAACAAGGTCCAACATTTAAGAGAATATTCAGAATCTAAGTTATCAGGCATATGTTTAAGTGCGACTCTCGTTAAAAAAGATACCGCAGCTAATCTGTTACTCAAAGCAATTACGAAACTATCCGTGCTTCTTGTTTGTTGCTCGCAGGATACCGACCAAAGAAATTTCCAAATCTGTAATGTTCTGAAAACCTGGTGCCTTGGCAAATCCAGTTCAATATAACCAACCGGTCTAACGTCATACGTAGATAAATGTTCTTCATTTTCATCTACTGCCGAACTTAATCTGTCTACTTTGACGTGTTTATCTAAAATGTCCGATATGATTTTAGTCCAGTGTTCTTTTTGGCGTTTTTTCTTACTATAATCTCGACTATTCAATTTCTCCTTTAATAATTTTGGAATCATACTACCTAAAACAAGCAAATAAACTCCATTCATCGAGCTGCAGTTAGTAAAATAATAAAACGCCCGATAAAGTAACAGCAATAAACTCATGTAAACAAAAATTTGAAACAAACGAGTTAGAAATTCGTTAAGACAGTTTGTCCAACTGCATTCTAAATCATCACAAACACCGTAATATAATTCTTTAGAGACATATTCTGTCCCATCACTGTCAATAAACTTAACTGCTCCTAGATTGTGAGATGTTACAAGCTTCACCGACGTGCTTTCATTTTCGTCCATGTCACTTTTGTCCAAATTAGATAGTCTGGGAGAATTTTCGTCAATTAACTTTAAAATTAATCGGTGTCTGGAATTAATGTTTTTTAAATATCCATTTGCATATGTAAATATAACTAAAATGTAATAAATAAAAGGAAAAAGTGTCTGAGGATAAACGAAACAGGAAATGATAACGAAGAATATAACATTAATTGCAAAATCTGCAATTAAAAATATAACTGTGCTGTATCCTATCAGTATCAAACAAAAACCAACCCATGATAAAAACGACAGGACATACTTACAAAAAATTTTAATTATACCGCTGAAGTTGCAATCTTTTTGAATGTCATCAAATGTATTACTTCGGTTGATGACATTACTTGTTGGGAAGAGCATAGATTCGGAGGGATAAAGTGCAAAGCATACATTCATAAGTGGGATGCGTGCGATGACCATTCTACAAAATGCTTTCATCAGTCGTCGAATTTTTGACGGAAAGCAAGGGATTCGAACAAAATGTTTTACGTGTTGAGCATCGTCGCCGTATTCCAGTTTGTTTAATATAGGTTGATATCTTCCAGATAACCTCTGTTGTAACTGTTTGGTATGGTCCAATTGTTTTTTACTGCTGCTTTTGATCAAACATTTTTCTAGCGAGTTTTGTGTCCACGTAAGAACAACAAATGTGTAACCAAATGCCATAACAGAAAAAATCATCCAAAGATTGAGTGTGAAGTTATTCGTTATAAGGATGTATGATCCCAAAAAATTAAGGTTCAATTCTAAAGGATTAATGATATTATACTCCCTAGAATGATTAATTGCCATTTTATAAAAATTTAGTTTGGGAAAATATAGAAGAATGGCAATGTGCATCAAAAAAGGATAAATGAGCAACAGTCCAATTAATTTTACAACTATGAACCAAAATTTCCTAACTTTAGAATGGGGTCTGCAGAATGAAGGCTGATGTGGCCACGACCCCCACCAATGAATGCAACATTTGCCTTCCCCATAACAATAAAATAATAATCGAAACAATGACCTTGGCAATGAAAATGGTTTATGATCGTTTAAATTAATCAATTGTCTATAAGAAATACGTATAACGTAATTTCGCTGTCCCGTGATTCCTTGTTTTAAAGAGGCTCGAAAAAATTTGGTACCCTTGTCGTAACGTAAAAGTGATTTAACTTTCAAAACAAAGATAGGACTGAATAAAGTTATGAAAATTGATAAAACACGAATAACCAATTTGATAACATATATGCCTTCGTTAGTCGGTTTTATAATGCGACATTCCAACTCCATGGACAAAATTTTATCCACTGAACAGCAACGGTGAGACAGGTAAGAAATGTTTTCATCCTCCTCGTTCGCAAATATGTAATGACACAAAAAATGCTCAGATTTTGAAAATGAGTTTTCTTCGGATATGATTTCTTTAGCTATAGAATTTTGAACTAACTTCAATCTGCAATTAGGAGAAACCATGACGAGACAGTTGGCGGGTGTTGTCGATACTATTAAGTTCATTATGGGTTTATTGAAGTTCATCAAATAGAGTGACAAAACTTCAGAATCTAGTGGAAGCTCCAGTAGCTTTCTGCCGATCTTGTTCGATGCCCACATCCATTGATTGCCCATGTAACTGTTCAACATGTACGGATACGTTTCCATAACATTGGCCGAATAATTCTGAAATTGAAGTTTGAAAATAATTAAGTTTACTTCCTCTTCATCTGTTTTACTTTTGAAGATTTGTTTTTTGTTAATTCTATCAACAACTTCCAAATTGCAATTATTCGGACAATCGTCATCGCTGAAAACGTTCTTATCGTAATTTTTATGTTCAGCATAGTTTGAAATCTTTACATTATGATCAAAGTTAGCGTTACTGTGTAGTGCTTGTTCGAAATTTGTAATATTTAGATCTTTTTTAATTTTTATTCTGAAATGGTCATAAACACGACTGTGCAGATGTTTTTTATGTTTGCTGTCACACTTTGACGGCACCATCATTGCATGCAACACGAAAACAACCTGTGAATCAAATTATAGTTTTATGAATTTGTTTAAATAAAAAATAATGTAGTGAGTTAAAAAGACAGCGTTTTAAAGAGTGTTTCATTTGATAAATATAATTGAGTAAACTTGAATATGTATTTTAGATCGTCTGATGCACGAGTTGCAATATATTATCAAATTTCTCACCACATGCAATGAAATGAGCTTCATAATTTCTTTTGTTCTCATTTGTAGTCATTTTCATGCAACACTCCACAAACAGAGAGACTACTAACAATTTCTTTCATGTCATCTCGTACCTTTTGTCTTTGCTGTTGTTGATAATATAGATTGTATAAAATATTATAGCAAATTCAAAAGTAAACCAAGACTATATATTAATTTTTTTAAAAAAAATAACACATTTTGTAAGTATTTAAAATAGGGTTAATAAAAAGTTTGCTCGTAACATAAAAATCACATTCTAGTAACTTGCCTCAAACAGAACGTTTATACGTAATACGATTGTTGAAAATATTGGCAGGCTGAATATTTTAATATTGTTTGGTTTCAATGTTGCAAACGTATGTTTGACCAATATCATGGTACTCTAACTGGTAATGCTATATGGCATTCTCTCAGTTGTAAGTTTAACTGGCAGCTACGACGTCACGCGTCCATTATAATTACTTAGCGCATGGAGTATCCCAGCAATTTATGTTCAGGTGATTGGCGAAGATTGAAATATTATTTTAATATAATGACGTATACACTTCCAGGTCAACATTCTGATCAACTGATTCATTTCATTTCTTACGCGTAATTTAATGGGCTTGCATTTGCAAAGATATGCGAGAATTTTTCGTAGTTATCGCGTCAAAGATACAAACTTCCACACTCATAAATTATTGAGAATTTTGCTGTCGTTAAACTGAAAGTTCTATTTTATGCTAAATTTCAACTAAATAAATTTTTCTTTTTGTGATTTCAAGGAAAGTTTTATTATTTTTTTTTAACAATATAGAAGTTTTGTGAATTTTTGCTGACGAAATGTAAATTTTCGGCGTGTTTTAGAGTTGATGCTGAATGAATAACTCTGTTTTAAGTCTAACTTCTTTCTGTTTCGTTCGATGTTTCTGTTCAAAAATTTAAAATATCCAATAGCGTTATATTTTTTGACGTTTCTTAGCGTAAAACATTAAAAAAAATTTTTGTTGTTTCTAAATTGTAAACAAGTTGTAATTGCATGCAATTTCAAACTTTAACAACTGCTACTGAATTGAAAATCAGTAGAAAATGTTTAATAAAAAAATGGCGTTAACAAAAATATCTACGCCATTTCTATTTGAGAATTTGATGAAGAAGAACCAATTCTGCCATGTAATGCAATTTTCAAGAAAGAAGTTCATTGAATTAGGGGACATGCAAGCAGCAGTGAGTCTCATTAGATTTTCCTTCTGCGACGCATGCCGCCAATTTGCAGCAGTTCGAATAAGTAGATTATTGCGTGTGGTTGATCATTGGGTCAGCACTATTTTTAAGGCCATATGTCGCTTAAATAAGATGCTGTACAAGTTTCTTCGATTAGATTGTAATATTTTGAAAAATTTTGATTTAAAAAAACGTATTTTCAATTAAACAAAATTAGATACAGATATTTCACGTTCCATTTTTGTCTACAAAAATATTGAAATCGATCCAGCATTTTTAAATAAAATAGAACAAATATGTGGTGCAACCAGCGGTCAGGACATTGTGAAAAACAATCGCAATCAATAGAAACAGACATGGATGGAATGATGTAAGATACGCCAGTCTCTAATTATCTTTCGTTGATTGCATTTGATTTGTACGTCCGTTCATTTGTTCGCTCACTCATAAATAAATAAACATACAAATTTTTTCATTCACTCAATTTATTTATTTGTTTGTTTATTCTTTAGTTTATTTGTTAAATTTTTCGTCCGAGTCCAAGTTGTGATTGTACTTGCGTTAATGTTAACGCACCCAACTCCGATGAACGATGAATTTGAACGAAAGAATGGATGACTGGCAGAGATAATGCACGTCGAAATTTCTCTAACATTATTCTCTAAACGTAAATTGAATTGTTCTTGCAACGTTTTTTCACAGTTGTTCATACACGCCCAGCATGTGTATATTGTTATACAGAATGAATGATAACATGTTGTTGCACTATTCGATATCTAATTCCATTCCACTTATGCGATCTGAATAATAAAAAATTATAAAACATTTTTTTCATTAACTGCATCTAAAAGGCTGTAGGCTACCGCATTTCGTTTTTGGCCGAAATTTGCCATTTTTTTCCAAATCTGCTCAAAATCAGCAAAAATTTTTGTCAAAACCGAAACAGAATTTAATTTTTTATAATTTTCATCCAACTTTCAAAATAATTAAATGCCACTTTTCTAAAAATTGTAACAAATTTTGCACCATCAATGCATAAAAATATTGCCAGCATTGTAGTTAGCACCGGGTAAAAAATAGAAAGAAAATAAAAAATAAAAAATAAACGTGAGATTTATAAAATTTTATAACACTAAAATACGTTTGGTTTCAGACGGGTTTGTGCATTATATATATATATATATATGCATATATATGTATATATATATATATATTTATAGTATATATATACTAACGTGTGTGTGTAAGTCTGTATGTGGACAAAATCAGATGAATAGTCAATCTAGTTGTGTTTATGTACGTAAGTGCATTACATATGTAGTGTGTTGTGTGTGTGTGTGTGTTTGTGTGTGTGTGTGTGTGTGTGTGTTATTTATCACCGTTTAATATCGATTTTCATTAATTAACGAATTTCGTCTTTGTCCGTCGTCATTGTCATCATCATCATCTTTTCCATCATCGACACCATCATCATCAACACCACCATCAAACCATCATCATCATTCATCATCTTTTCCATCCATCCATCATCATCATCATCGTTTTTCTCCAAGCATGCCGTCTTTTGTTCCTTTGTTAAAGAGCTGAACAACTGCTCGCATAATGCTCACGCAAATACGAACACTATGAATCATAACATGCGCTTGTTTGTTTGTTATTCTGTCGTCTGTATCTTTTTTCGTTCATTTATGTTATCATGTTGTGTGTATGCGATTTTGTTTAAATTGGTCTTGCCTATGTTTTTTGTTAGTCAGTTTTTTATAAGTAAATTTATTCCGTTAGCTTAGCTTTGGTTGGCTGTTGATTTGTTTACTTGTTTCTTTACGTTGTTCATATCTTGTTTGTATTTTATTATACATGTTTTTTCGTTTGTTTGTATGTTTGTTTGTTATATTGACATTCATGTTCATTTATTAGTTTTTTAGTTACGTGATAAACTTGTGTCTATATCTGTGTTTTCGTGTATGCGTGTGTTCGTGTGTGCGTGCGTAAACAAAGCCTGTTTACGATTTCTGTCTGCAAAGAATGATCTACTTATTTATCACTCTGGCGAGACAACATTTTGGAAACTGGAAACATTTATGGACACACATCAGAGACAACGTGTGATCAGATCAGAGACAATGAAATAACAATTTCTTCGTCTCAAAGTTATCTCAACTACAGTGAAATGGATTTGTATCATTTCTACTAGTGATTATGTGTATTTTACGTCTGACTAGTGATTATGTGACGCTATTCATGGAAAACGCATTGAACGCGTTTAATGACTGACGCTTAATAATCTTCGTAAATTCAACGATCAGAGACAAAGACTATCCACATTAACATACAAAGAAGATTTACAAACTAAATGGCGGGACACGCACGCTGCAGACTGCAACGATTCCTCTCAGTTATTTGCTTGCTCTCTCTTGCGCTCTTTCTCTTCCAACTCCTCTCTCTCTCTCTCTCTCTCTCTCTCTCTTTCTATCACTCTTCTCTATATATTTAATTTTTACTCGTTTGTTTCACTTTCCACTAATTCCTCCATACCCCTAAGTTTGCATGTGAACAAAATCTATTTTTTAAAGAAAAGATCTTGATTCTCAGATGAAAATTAACATTTAAAAATTAATCACACTGAGAAGGCGTTTTAAATATTTCTGACAATTATTTTAGCATTAAATTGTCAGAAATATTTTATTATCTTCATTTTCATATAAAATAAAGCAGCATGAAGTTATTTCGATGTTTCATAAGTTTTGTAGTTAATTTCAAAACTAGTTGTGAGTGAGCAATGAACATTATCCAATAAGTAATATGACATTCATTCTGTCTGTTACCATCACTTCAAAGAAGAATAAAAAAAATTCCTGTCTGAACTAGAAAGCGTCATTTATCACAAAACAACAGCTTTAATTTCCTGTGCCAGTTGCATGGTGCGTGTCAACTCGACTCAGTTCGGCATGAATCTTCACACGAGACCACGGCGTCATTGTGCTCTCTTATTCGTTGAATCTTTCAAAATTATTTCCCAGTAAAAACAACAAATTTACAAACAAGAAAGTTAGAAATATAAAATTCAAAAGTGATTAAATCGGTAACTTATTAATTTCAACAATTTTTCAAAGAGGAGGATCGATATAAAATATGAGCAACAACAACATTGACTAAACAGGACGAACAAACAGTATGTGTGGTGGAGTTACTAACACTAAATTCGTTTGCGATGTTGTTATTTCATTTTCAACACAGCATGTATAAGCGAATATCATTCATTCACGTAGTAACCAAATGTTAATGCTTTGCTTTGATTCGTTTAAGAAGTTATCATCATAAAAACTCTGTCATATACATACAATTTGTGACATTTAAAAAAAATCTTATTTATCAACCGGATAGAAAAATTATTTAATACTCCGTTTAATCAAAAACAACTAAGCAGTGCAAATAAAGAAATAAATATAATCGTTTAGGATATAAAAAAAAGACTTAATAATCCACCAAGCGCACATTGAGCTTCAGATATTAAAACATAAAACACGCAATGTGAACAGGAAACACATTCATAAAACTCATTATTTCTCACTTACTCTCTTTCCTTCTCATTTTCTCTCTTTCTCTCTTTCTCCTGCTCTCTGCTTTTCAGTATCTCTCATATATATATATATATATATATATATATATATATATATATATATATATATATATATATATATTGAGCTCTTATATAATCTTAATAATAATACATACATTATAATTACACACTGTTTTATATTTACTTTGCACACACACGCGCGCGCGCGCAACACACACCCACAAAGAAATGCTGCTCTTGGAAAGAGATGGTGTAGTGTGACGTCTGACACTTCTTTAATTGATTTGAAATAAAACAAAAATAAAATAATTTGATATAATTTTAAATCAAACAATATAGCAATAGAATAAAAAATGATATAATAATATAGAACTAAATAATTTAATAACAAAATTTTATAGGAGCCTTTGAAGATGATATTTGTAATATCAATTTTGTTAAACAGATATCGAGCAAGGAATTATGCAAAGAACGGAAAGGAACTGGTCACTGGGTAACATAGAAAAACATAAAAAGTACAGCATTTGAATGTGATGTAACTGTAGCATAAGAAGAGAGGAATTTAAAAGGAGTGAGGATGATTGTAATGACACGAATGTGCGTTGTGCCCCTGCTTACATATCTCATGCCACACCGCCAGGCCGCAGACATCTGTTGTCGTATTTGCATACAATGCTCTTCCACAATCGCGACTGGTGCTTCTGCTGATAATCCATTATCTTGATTTTTTTCCTTCGCTTATGCTCAAACAATTTACAAACCAATTTTAATTTGTAATGATTTTGTAAGAATGTAAAAAAATATCAATGTTTGTTATAAGCATAAACGGTATACATATAGGATAAACGTCTTTTTATGTATCGTTAAAATTTCGTTAAATGTTTACAAGCTTTATTTTGAAAGATTGCTAAATGTTTATGGATTTGAAAGCTTTAAGTTTCACTTCTAGTTAAATAATATTTTTAAGAATATTGACATAACATACGCTAATTGAAATCAGAAAGACAGATTTGTTGTTTTCAAAATTTAAAAGCGAAAATTTGTATTGAAAAATCCAACAGCTAAAATTACCTTCTAGTTTATGGTTGGCGAAAGTTGAAAAATGATAGCTTGTACTGAACATTCAAAATTTTACAATTTTTAGTACAATCCGTTTATTTATTGAGACATGCCCATGTGCTGATTAGTCCTGTGTATTCAGGTTTGAAAATGTTTGTAAATTCTTGAATTTAAGATGAACAGTTACAACAACATGATATTAAATTTCCATCTTCCAAAACAACGCAACAAACAATGTACAGACGTTCAACCGAAATATCATGGAACATTACTGAGTGTTATCACCATCGAGCACTAATAATAAGTGGATGGATGTGTGGATGAATGGAAGGACGAATGAATGGATGGATGCCTATTAATGGCAGGCAGCATGCACGTTCCTATGTATGCACATCCATTCTTTTGTGTGCGCTCCATATAACAAGTGTGTTGTATATATATGATGCATATTATGCATATTTAGTTGAGTTCGGTAGGAGTTGTGATGTTAAATACGTTTCTTTTTCAAGATTTCTTGAACAGTACCTACAACAGAGACGCATTGTCATCGAATCGTCTGATAATAAATCATTTTAACAATAACTCTCTAAAATTTATTTTATGATTTAAAATTTGAATATAGAAACATATTTTTCTGTATAAGTTGGCTTGACTGCCATAAAGGGATGCCACTTGTATTCTCAACTAATTTTTTGCTTCGCTCAACTAATTTTGCAAAACATACACGCTAACATAAATAACATTAAAATGTGCACTGCTTCAACAATCCTGAACTGTGTTGCAAGGCTTGTACAACGGACTGAAGTTCGACCATGTGAAACCAAACATAATAATGTAACGTGTATAAATCTCTGTCTATCAAAATCGGCAGTAGAATCAAAAGTTAAAATAGGTATCTAAATAAATTATTTTTTTAATAAATTCTAACTAATTTGTTTTAATAAATCTACAAACTTTGATAATATTCCCCTTGTTAATAATATCTTACCTGACTTGAATTTTTGAATTTAACATGTCCTTTTTTCATAAATTAATAATGTTTATTAAAATTTCTCCGTCTTAAGCCTTTCTTTGACGATCTGTTTATTTTTTATAGCTTCATTGGTTTAATCGAGAATTGATTATCATAATTCGCTCTACTACGGTTTGTCCTATTCTACATATCCTTTCGGTAAAACTTTTAACTCAGCTGCTCGTTTAGTTGCTCGTGCCCACATTTATTTATATTATCCCACCTCGATCTCATACACTGGCTACCGATGCTGTGCATTCGTATCATGCCTTTTCCACCTTCCGTCGACTTGATCTTCACTCGCTGCGAGATGACGGTGTTCACCGACGTCTTCGTCAAACCGTACTCCTCGGCGAGACATTTCTGGCGCGAGTGCCACTTTCAAATTTTCTGATGATTTCCTTCTTGATCAGAGAGAAATCGATTTTCTAGTTAGTGGACCCATTTTTTTCTTAAAACTCGGAAACCGCGTTTAAATTTTGTGAAAAAACGTGTTGAAGGTTGTAAAGAAGAAATGAAAAAGGAAAACACTAAAAAGCAGCACCATAACTGAAAAAAGGGTGAACAATTCCTTTCTCCCAGCAGCAGACTGCTCGTCCGCCAGCGCTGGTAACCATGCGCGAAATGTTCGATTTTTCGCGCGATTCCGCGCCCAACGGACTCCAGTCCGGTGGGCTGGAGAAACCGCGGTCCGTTCTGCGAAATTCCGTTGTACGGGTGGTCTGTCCTGCGGGGACCCCGCCGTACAAGGAAATCAAGTAAGTTATATAAATAAAACAATTAGTACACAATGTTTAATATGCAAATGTTCAAGAAACACAATCCACAGAACATGTGTGAAAGATTCATGCATCCACACACACAAACGTGTAGACACGATGAATACAGATAAAAATGAACAAAAAATAGAATGAATGATAGAAATTAATACTTGTTAAACACTTTTATGTAAAATCTCTTCCTTCTCTAACTATAGTTTTTCATCACTTAAAAGGTTCATTGCAAATCTTAAGATTTACTTGTTTGCTAAATTAATTCATTGAGAGGTGCTGTTGGACATTGCGAAAACGGTGCTTTAAAAACAAATGTATTGATTGAATGCAAATATAAATCTTTTTCATTTTCCTGAAAAATATTTTTCGGATCATAGCCTCGCAAATTTTTGAGTATTTTCAAAAATCTAAACAAATCCACACCTACACACACAGGCCCGCACAGAGTTTTGTAGGCCCAAGTATAAAAGTACGAACAAATAGTGGAGAAACATCGTCAATAAGTTTGTTTGATGTCTCAACAGAGTATCTCAGGTTATTTTGCAAGCAGGCTTATCGTGAAAATATTTTTAAATATATGCTTAGTGAGACAACCTTATATTAAGTTTTATTATAAACTATTTGGTGAATCGATCTTAATGTGAAATATTTGTCACATCACAGATACAATTTATGATCTAGTTAAAACAATCACAGCAACCTACCTAATATAATTAATCGCTGAAAATTAAAATGGTCTTTAATTTTTCCACATTTGGGAAAATAAACGTGCGTGTTAAATATGCGTCCGAGACTCCTAGTATGTGATAAAATCGGCAATTACGCAATACAATCGGATGGCGTATGCTTGAACGTTATAACCGGGTTACGTGGTGCGAGCTTACACGCGACACGACTCTATAGAATCCATAATTAAAAGTATAATCACGTCGATAATTTGTACTTTTTGCATTTGTATTTGAGCGGGGTTGACGTGAATACTATAAAAACATCCAAGTACATAGTAAAAATATACATGAGTATAAGTCAAGTAGTGAAATAAATTAAGCACAAGTACATGTAGTAGTTAAATAAACTGGTTGGCTAGTTGAAATGACGACAAATGCCATTATCTTGCTCCTTTTTGACTCATTTTGAAAAGGTTTTAAAAATATGAAGTTTATTTTATCGAAAGACAATTTTTCTAAAGATAGGGACTTAAGTTAGTTTTAATTCATGGCAGATTTATAGACAATTTTTATGTATAATTCAAATGATTCTGCCCAGAGAATGATTTAACCCTTTGATTTAAATATCACAGATCCAAATTTCTTAATTTTTCAACAAGGTGTCCGTCAAGATAAATTAAAGATACACAAATTAATAAACGTGTTTGAAAATCATGATTATTTAGAGAGATTTGATCATGAACAATAAGGATCGAAAATGACCCTTGAATTTTGATCTAAAATGACCCTTGAATCTTGATCTAAATTAAATAAATGATACAACTGCTTTTTAATGTAATACGTATCAACATCTTTATCAACGTTATTGATAACATTTTTTTAAAATAAATGAACAAAATAATAAGAATAAATAAAGGTTAACATAACCTACATTGGAAAAAAAACTGTTAAAATGTTCTTATAAATTAAAAAAAAATTGCTTTCAACATAAGACGTTTAGTTGCTGGGGTAAATCTAAACTAACATCAGTATAGCCCATAGGCGTTTTGTTGATGTCAAACTCACCTGTTAACAAAAAGAAAAAAATAAAAATTATGGATGACCGTGCGATGTATTTAATTTTTATGACTTTACTAACCCAAAAGGACAAACCTCCGGACCGAACAAGCTGAAAATTTCTGTTTTTTTGGAGGCACAAAGTAATCATCACACTCTTTACCAACGGCAGAATGGGCCCCATTATTCGTGAAATCATCGATTACACTATCAAGTTGGTCACCACAACATGTATCACATTCATTTTCTAAAACTGGCTGGTCACTCATATTTTTTAGACATTCTTCAAAATCGTTTAAGGTGTGAAATCTTTTCATTTCACCAGCCACGCGGTTCGGACTATCTTCATAATAACCAAAGTTTAGGTTGCTGTGGTTATCCACTTTATTGTCTTCAAGAGGATCCCGACTGATTGATTGCATGTTCCAAATGTTGATAATTGATGTCAGATGATTTTTTTGCATAGCATTCAGATGTGGTCTACAGTAAGACAGAAGGCTTGAACGATGTTTAATAATGTGCCAACAGTCATTTGAACTAATTTTAGATCAGAAAAATTGAAAGAACTATTTCAAATATTCATTTTTAAATTTTTAAGAAAATTAAATCTGATAATTTTTTTGATAAATGATAACTAAAAATTTTACGATATTAACATCACAATGAATAGATGAGTAGTACCATCTGAACAACTTGAGTGTGTTGCTGTTGATGGTGGACTTAGTGAGTATCAGCTCAATCAACCTCCTCCCATCAATACTTACTTTAACATTCACAATTAAATTAATTAACTCAATCAGCAATAAATAAAATTCATATTTTAAATAAATTAAACAAAAAAAACTTTGATTAAAGTAAATAAATTGAATTCAAAAAAGATTGAATTACATTTGAAGGAATTTTCGATAAAATAGATAGCCAGCGAAGAAAGGCATTCATTTTCATCCTCTTCATCGCTCATTTGCGTGCAGACCATCTCAATGAACCGTGAGGAAAGGCGGCAGGCATTGAAGCTCTTGAACAAGGGAAGCCACATCTTCGCTCTATAATCTAAAGTGGTGTGACATTTTTCAAAAATTTAATTAGATACATATTTTTTGAAGTCATAATAACAAACGCCAAATTGATTAATATTATTAATCAACCATTTATATAGCGTTTTTAAAAAAACTCACAAAAGTGCACTTAGATATTCATGTAAAAGTAAGCTTACAAACTTAGTATTTTAAGGATAGAAACTCACAAGCACATATAGTTTGGGTATTGGTTTGTTTTGAGCGTCAGAGCTTGCTTGGTTCATTTATTTATACTTATATTTTGACTTTAAGAAAATTCTGCACCCCAAGCATCAATAGATTATGTTTATTTTTTTCTACGCTAGAGATTACACAACAATAAAAATACAACATGAATTGGAAAAGTTATTGTAAACAAAATACTTGTTTTGCTGAACGATGAGAGGAAGCCTTGATGCAATAAAATGTTCCTCAATGCCAAATTTCTGCATCACCAGAGTATTTTTTTATTTCTATAATTTCTAAACTTCTATGTAATAAATTTTTTTTAACAAATTTTATAGATTCAACTCACTTGTCAATATGTAAAAATAATTCTAATTTGTCTATAATATCTCGCGTCCCAGACGATAGTTTTCCTTTGGAGGATGCACTCGACCTACTACCACATGACTGGTGGAGTAAAAAAAAGAGATTTTATTCAAAATTTACATTTCTTGTTTTTCAAAAAATATAAGATCACGCCAATGTTTGTTAGAGCAAAAGTAACAAAACAGGATGAACCTTTATGTAGTGATCGAGTAGAAAGTGAACTGAACTAATGATATAATCATCATAGCTTTCTTGATCATCATCGCTTTGATAGTTGTCGCCATTTGCACCGTTGTCATCAGCATCAACACCACAACCACCTGGAGTTTCATTTGATACACGATAAACTTTGTATGCAGCGAGATTCGTGGAGCCACTAGAGTCATTATTCTGTTCGTCGTCGTCCTCATTATCTTCAGTGGAAAGTTCTGCAACCTGACATTGTTTTGTTTTTATGTATGAAAATCATCTTCTGCACTGTTCAATTAATTATGTGATTGATTGTTACTACTGCTTGCTAACTTCAGGTAGGTTTTCATTGTTGTTCTCAAAAGTTTCACATTTATTCTTCAAAGAGATAGGATACATCATTTTCTTCCAGTAGTTTTTCTGTTTGTAAATTTTGAACGTTTTATAAGTGCATTTTGATTCACACACTGCAAACTTAAATATATAAATGAATTTATAAATTTATAAATGTTTGTAGACATATAAACAAATTTATAAATGCTTGTAGGCATATGACCCATGTTAGGTGGCAATCCCTGGACTCATGCCAGAATTTTTTAAAACAAACTGTTTCCACTTTATTTTTTGAGTTATCAAAATAAGAAATGTTGTTGGGCTTGGGCAAAAAGACTTGTGACAAAAGTTTTCTATCGACAAGCTGCATCACAAGACACCTCAAACATATTAATACTCACTAAAACTTTATCATTCACAGAACTAGTTTTTATTTATTGATCACCTTACTAACTCACTAAGTCATCATCTAGTCTATTAATTTGCGTTTTCATGCCATTACTTCATTATATATAACATTGTCAATTACTTTTCTTTTATTCATTTTATTATTATTATTTATTTTACTATATTTTATTTTATTTTTCATGTTTTAACACTTTCAAATTTTTTATTTTGCTGAACTTAATTTTTCTTAGCCCATGTGTCAACTGGCTTAATGTTTCAATGCAAAACTCCCATCCACGTTATGTCCAAACCGAAAAAAAAAACTTGGGTGATGCAGTACTGAGAGGAGGAGGGCAAAGAGTGATGCAGTACTGTGAGAAGGAGTACAGAGAGTGATGCAATGCTGAGAGGAGGAGTGCAGAGAGTGATGCAGTACTGAGAGGAGGAGTGCAAAGAGTGATGCAGTACTGTGAGGAGGAGTGCAGAGAGTGATGCAGTACTGTGAGGGGGAGTGCAGAGAGTGATGCAGTACTGAGAGGAGGAGTGCAAAGAGTGATGCAGTACTGTGAGGGGGAGTGCAGAGAGTGATGCAGTACTGAGAGGAGTGCAAAGAGTGATGCAGTAATGAGAGGAGGAGTGCAGAGAGTGATGCAGTACTGTGAGGAAGAATGCAGAGAGTGATGCAGTACTGAGAGGAGGAGTGCAGAGAGTAATTCAGTACTGAAAGGAGGAGTGCAAAAAGTGATGCAGTACTGAGAGGAGGAGTGCAGAGAGTCATGCAGTACTGTGAGGAGGAGTGCAGATGGGTTAAGAAATTATTACCTGGTTGGCTGAAAAGTAGAACATGCTGAAACAAAATTCAAACTTGTTGCAAGATAGGAAAAACGAGACTTGAAATAAAGTGAGAGTAGCAAACAGAATCCTTGCAGTGCTCGTTGGCGCAGTAGTCTTTTGGGTCACCACTAAATAAATAATAACACAGAGTAATGATTATGTAGTATAGAATGTACACGCACACAAACAAGTGTCTATTAATTTGATTGGTCACAAAGTTTTGATCATTTCCCAGTTAAACTTAATCATGTAATTTTAATTCAAGTAAAAGCAAGTACAAATGGAAGCAAATGATCTGCAAGCAACCTTCAAGTATGAGATTGCCTGATCAGCACCTGCTCGAAGTAGCGGCAACGAAGGAAGAAGTTGATGGGTTGATTCATGGCGCAAATCAACCAGCCAACGAGGAATGTCCATCTGCAATTTATTCCAATTTACAATTTTATCATTCACATCAAGTAATATTGTTAACTTGTGGAATAAATCAGTAAACCTGTTTGGCAATTTTATGCAGAGGTACTAAAAATTTTTTATCTTGATTAGACTCTAAAAGCTGGTTAATAAATCTAGAAAAAAATAAATTAATCATGTCTTTAGTAAAACAAATGATTTTTTAAACATAAAAAGGTTATTTAGGAAAGTAACAATGAAGACGGTGGGAACCTTGTGATACTCATGCCGTAGAGTAGTCTCATGGATTGATCACTCAATAATTTTGTTTCTTTATTTTGCTCATCATTCATCTTCACTGTCATCAATTCTTTCGTCAATTCAATTGAAATTGACAACTTGTCATACACTCTGAAATAATTAATCATTTAGATGCTACAAGTTATTTTAAAATTTGTAAAAAAATATTATAATACATTTTAAACCTGTGACATGCACAAAAATATAAAATTATAACACTTGTTTGCCCACACAAATGAATAAACATTTCCAGTTTTGCTAAAATTTAAAACAAATTTTTGTAAATAAATTAAGATTGTAATTAACCACTTTTTTATAGAGTTCTATATCTTTTTATTCTTTGCATGAGATTTTATCACATTTTATATCAACTTTCAGTCAACATATTTTGGATATATTTATATTAAGGTAACTTGTTAATCTATTTTATTTTTAATTTTTATTTAATTTTAATAATTTTTCTACCAATCAAGTTAATTTAACACAAAAAATAACAATTTTTTAATGTATTAATAATAATATGAATTGTATCTCACTTTTTTTACATTTACAAATATCATATTACTAAAAAATATTTTACCTTATAACTATAAAAATTATATATTGAATATATAATTTTTATAGTTATATTATAATATATTATATTCTATTATTTTAAATTTTAATAAATGTTAAAGATCTATTTTCTATTACATTACATTACATTTCACTCAACTCTTCCTAAGTTCAGAGGATTCAACAACACACACAAACATCATGCATGAATACGTGCCAAACGACACATCACACATGAAGCACGCGATAGGAAGGGATTTTTCTGTCATATTCAAATCAAATCGAATAGAAAATGATGACTGCATTGCACTATGAAATAGAAACAGCACTAGGCAACCTTACCACTAGGCCATCAAGTCACCCATTGCAATCAATAACTAAAAATTTGATGAAATTTAACTCAATTGTCTTATTTTTTTATTTATATTTTTTTACGAATTTCTACAAGTAAAAAAATTAAAAGTTTGAACATTTTTGCCAACCTGCATTTCCACACTTGAATTTTGTTCAAGCCTTCAGTTTGCTTCACTAGATCAGAACTAAAAATATTTCTGTAAACCTCCAGCCATTCTGACCTTTAATATTAAAATTAAGTTTGAAAAAATGATTTTATTAATAGTGAGTGCAAATAATAAAGCAAACCTATCAATCCAAGGTACAACACGTTTAAATGGTAGCGCCATGTTGTCATATTAAACTTTTGTTTGCTTTTAAATTGTATACCAAAGAAAGAAGAAAGCTGTGATGCTGGCCACACGTTCAGTCAAAAATTATCATTATTGTTAGGCTGAATTTATTGGTTCTTTTTCTTTCTCGTGCATTATCCTTCCACAAAACCCGATCCTTAACACTTTGTAGTTGTTGAAATGTGATGATATTCAACAAGCGACACAAGGACTTCACGAATGTTTTTCGTTGTTGACCGCGATCTCTTTTCCCTGCAATCTTTCTCGTAATTGTTAGATTTTATTTTCCATTCTTTCCTTCCGCATGATGTGACCAAAAAACTTTAAGTGCCACCGTCGGATTATCTGTAATTTCTTCTTTTCATAACCGCACTGTTTTAAAACATTTTCATTCGAAGTATGAGTCCAACTAATTTTCATAATTCTTCTCAAATGCCACATTTCAGCATCGTTAATCATTTTTTCCATTTCTTTAAAAATTGTCTAAAACTCAGAGCCGTAAATTAGCACGTGAAAATGTAACATTCATCCTAACAGTTTTAATTTTGTTGATATTCCGATTTTACTGTTGGTGAGGATGTTTTTCATTTTAGAACATGCATATTTCGCTATAGCTATTATTCTTTTGATATTCATATCACATTTACAACCTGAGGTAATCAGACTTCCAAGATAATTGAAGTTGCCGACTTGCTTCACCTGTTTACAATAAATGATTATGGAGCAGATGGAGCAAATCAAGGCGGTTTTGCTTTTACTGATAACCATGCACTCTGTTCTGTTGGTGTTAATTTGCAAGCCTTTCCTTTCAATTTTAAAAACCAGTTTGGCAACAATTGTTTGCAGTTTTTCCATGGAATCTGCTATAAGACCCAGTGAACAAAGAAAAATGGGACCTATATAGGTCACAGGTGGGCTAACATATAGGCCCCATATGGGCTGCCCACGTGGGACCGGTAACAAAATGGCCGTCCAATTTGCGTGGGACGCATGTGAGAAAATAAGAGAATGTAAACGGGCTTTACGTGGGCTAAATGGGCTTAAAAGTATGCACACACGCGCACAAATTTTGCATTTTTTGAAGTATATTTTATTTTGATAAAACTTCCACAACAAAAAATACTAAATGTTCAATGTTAAAAAAATAATTAAATGAGAAAGTCAGGTTATAAATACTAAAAATAGAATGTTATAGTATGAAAAATTTCATTTATGCACAATTATCATTTTCATCTTCTTCATCTGATGCCTCATCTGAAAAATTTCCTTCATTGTTCTTACAGATGAATTTGATTTGTTCAACCGAAATGCCTTTTTACCATCTGTCTCGAGCACCGGTCAACCATTTTGCCACTGCTAACTCCACATCTCTTTTCATGACCTCTCCAATTGAAGCATTTTTTGACTGATCCTGTTATATGAATAAAAAAATTATTTTACAAAAATTATTAACATAAATTTATTCCGAAAAAGATGTAAGGCTGAGTTGGCCAGGAGTCAGCTATCTGAGATGAACCTGCAGTAGCTACGATAAACATGGAGTACTCCATATGTTTATTGTAGCTACTGCAGGTTCATGTTCTCCAAAGCTGAGTCCCTTGGTAGACTCTACCAAGGGATTCAGCCTTGGAGAAATGTGCGGATTACAATGGCTGGAACCAGGCAAGACAAAAAAATAACTTTAATAAAAAAAGATTAATGAATACTAAGGAAAAAAATATTAAAATTGAACTAAAACGAATTGAAGAAAATGGTTTTTAAATTATACTTACTGTTTACAATCTCGAATAATTTTGAACTTCCAAATGGTATTTTCCCTTTTTTCCCAACCATGTTGAATCCAAAGGCTACATCATTTTTCATTATGTGAGACATCACTCTTCTTATTACTTCATCCAAACTCAGAAAAAATTTTCAATAATGCATTTTGTGCTCTTTGGCTAATTTTATATTGTACAGCCCATGTAGCTAGATGCTCTTTGAAAGTTCTTAGGTTGCTAGATGATGACGTGCTGGTTGATAAGCTTGAAATTTCTGTATTATTAGAACTTTCACTATATTATACATAAACAAACTGGAGCTTTCATCATTAGCATTATCAGAATCTTGAAATTTTAATATTTTTGATGGCAGACTAAAAGATTTTTCATAATTTTCATTAGCATCAATATTATTGATGTTCCTAGTAGTGCAATCTTGTTTGTTATTTTGATCAACTAATGATGCTACATTTGTTTCTTTGATAGGAATTTTATTAAAAAAATCTTCCACCTTCCTCTTTATGTGTCTTGTCTAGATAAAGTATGCTTGTTATAATCATTCGAAGAATCCATTTTTTATTTATTCTTTTGTCTAAGTTATGATACTATAAAATAAATTAAAATATTATACAATAAATTAAAATATTAACAAAGTTAAGTTAAACTTTAAAGTTAATAACACAACAAAGAACAAATCAAAGGGGCATTCAGATCACAAAAAAATTATTTAATTTATTAAATCATTACCTTTCTATCAGTATTCAGCACGCCAAGGCAGTTGAAAACAATTGATTAAAATAACTGATAAATTATATAATTATAATTTATTAATTTCTTAATACTGATATATCAACTTTAACGCGATGAAAAGGAACAAAGGAACACGATCAAAATTTTAAAAGTTAGTATAGTAAAAAGAGTTAGTATTGAAAAGTAAACATAAAGCGTGGCAAAATAAAGCGATGTCCTAGAATTTAAAAGAAATAAAACAACAGTCATAAAAATAGACACAATTAAGTTGATAAAAACATAAGTTTAAAACATTTCATAGAATACCATAACATATAAAAAACATTTAGCTTTGAATCATCACATATTTTAATTTTTGACTACTAGCCCAGATAGCCCATAAGGGACCCATGGTTGTCCAATATAATTTTTAGAAACCTTGTCCATTTTATTAATTATTAAAAAAAGCATTATATTTAGGATTTTTATTCAAAATGTTCATTAAATATTAGAATGGAATAATGTTACAAAATTTTGAATTTTATATAGTTGCAAAAGCCTACACAGCCCTTATTGAGCCTTTGTGGAGCCAATATAGGCTTTCCTTTACACATGAAGCCCGCATTGGGCCCACAAAACACCCATGTGGGTAATCATTATTGAAAAAAGCATTATATTTAAAATTTTTATTCAAAATGTTCATTAAATATTACAAATGAATAATAAAATGTCACAAAACTTTGAATTTTATATAGGTGCAAAAGCCTTCATAACCCTTATTGAGCCTTTGTGGAGCCAATATAGACTTTCCTATACACATAAAACCCGCATTGGGCCCACAAAACACCCATGTGGGTATTTTGTGGGCCCAATGAAGCCCATGAAGCCCATATTGGACCAATAATATCATGTTCACAGGGGAGCTGAGTATATCTTACATTGTTGATATTCACGCCTCCAATGAATATTCCAGGTAAGATCTTCTATCTTATAGAGATTGTACCGGTCTGAAGAGACACAGACTTGTCTAACACCTTTCTTTATTTCGACAAAATTAGTCATCTTGTTTCCCACTTTCATCGCTGCTCTTTGGTCCCAAGAGCAAAGAGCAGCGATGATTTATTGATTAAATTTCTGTTTTATCTAAAACATATTTTTCACACAAAAAACAAAACAAAATATTAATTTTGTTATCAAATAAAATAACTAAATTAAACTTTAATCTAGGAAAATGTGAATGCGGTCACGATTAAAGGACGTAGTCACGATTATTTTTAATGAATAAATTTATTTTATTATTATATGTCATTAAACTAATAGCTTTAAATCGGGTTTTATTACTTATCACGCTACCAAAATTGAGGGGCTAAGTGCGATAATATGAACGAAACCTGCGTTCCAAGAAGCAACCACGGGTATCACCTGTGCATAGTTGCCACTAATGCACCAATATAACAATTATTTTAAACTTCATTGCGATATAAGGATGATTACTATTCTAACAAAGCACATCATAGAAAAGTTTCGAATGCCGACATTTTAATTTAATTGAGAAATCGATAATGATTTTACCAAAACAACAAAAGAAAACGTCGACTTTCAGTGAAGACCGCAAGAGGAATTTGCCTTAAACAAACAGAGCTGAAGCCAACGACCTATGTACATAGTTTGAAAGTGGAATGTTAAATTTTTTTTTTTAGTTTTTATTATTGCAGCTCTGACATACGCAGAACCACTTACAATGTGGCATATATAGATTATGTTCTTCATATCTTCAACCATTGATTTGAAGCAGCCATCTTCGCCACAAAGGCTGTTTATCCTTTTCACACGGCGTACACATGTATTTATGTGCACGCGCAAGCACCGCATCATATACGCTGAATATATGATAGCCATTGAGATGTTTGACTTAGCGAGCATTTGAACCACTGAGCCGCCTCGCCGGCCAACATGCGACAACTTACGTTGTCTATCCATTTACAAGCCTCGAAAGGATGGATGGCTGGGTTGGCCGGGGGTCGGCTACCCGGATGAACCTGTAGAAACTACAGGATTCGAACCCGGGTCGTAGGAGTGGTAGACGGACATGCTAACCACTTGGCCACAAGTCCCCAAATGAGCTTTATATTTGCAGATAACGGATATTGTTATTTGAAATTAAAAATAGTAAATTGACAAAATTCATTATATTTTTCATTGTAAACATTGTATAGAATGTTAACGTTTTTTTTACATCCATTACAGAGTTTTTGTCCCGCTTTTGAAAATGCAAACGCTGGCATGTATGTTGACAAAAAAGTAAGTTGAATGAGAATTGTGCGTACCAAGTTGCACACTGGCACGTGTTCGACACGAATAACGAACTTGACGGAAATGCTCATGAGTGAATTGCATCAGCTGCTGTTAATACTAGAGTCCAAGCAGAGAAGATTTTTTCAAACCGCAACCCCCCTCCATCCGCAGAGTTAACGTACGCAACCGCCCGCATCCGCACTGCTCATTATTATCCGGTCTCTTAATCTCATGTTTAAAATTTGAAGATAGCACTACTAGAGAGCAATTCATTTACAATATAATTATAATCAGAAAAATTATAGAAGAAGAATTTATTAAATTTCTATTTTAATAATTGAAATAACATCGGCCTGAACAACGAACACAAAATGAACGACGATGAGGAACTCAAACAAGCTATTTATTTATTTAATATTTATGAAAATGTTATATGTTGGTCGTACATACAGAATAAAATCTATAGACCTTTGCGTTATAAAAAGTATTTTTGAGAGTTGTAATGGGTAATTAGCATATGTGCCGTTAAAGGGTAATTATGTATGTACCATTAAGTAATGGACGGAAGGGACACGAACATATGTTCTCACAGATTTTGACTTTATTTGTTAAACAAGTTTATTATTTAATTTCAGTTTATTATCTACAAACAAAATTGGTAAGGCAATTTCGAATAAGTAATGCAAAATTACTCACTACTGATAACAACATTTTTAAAGTTTGCATAACTCAATTCATTATTGAATATGCATGTTTACTTATTCATATTTTTAGTTAATTGATTTTCATTAACTTCTTCTGTAAAAAAGTGGTTCAACAGGAAAAATGACTTCATAGTGAATAGCCCTATTTATATATAAAAAAAAGTTTTGTACAGTCTTCCTAAGTTCAGAAGAATCAACAACTGGCAAGCAGCGTATATGAATACGTGCTAAACGACGCATCTCACACAAGGCGGTTTTCTTGTTTATGGGATCTTTATGTCATATTTCAACGCGGTCCCAGTACCCACTGCGAAATCATGCCATCCCGATGCAATTTTATTTATGACACTTAATAATGTGAATAAACTAGAGATTAGCAAAAAATTTTTCATATTAGCGGTTTATGTTTAAAAAAGTAAATTCTAACTTTTCCCAGATTTATTTTTTTTATATAATTTCCTTCTCCGTCCGATACTTTGCTGCACCAAAACATAACAAACAACCATTCTAAACAAGACAACATTTGATTAATATCTCATTAAAAAAATGTTATACAACACTTACGTAAATTCAAAGTAAATAAACAATGCGTACTATAAAATATAAACAGCTTAAATTTATTTAGAGACATAATTTAAAAAACAAAAACAAAAACAACTTAAAAACTTAAAAGTTAAAAATCTACAATGACTGACAATCTAAACCTGATCGATCTTCGCATAAAACCATGCGCTTACGTTCAGGACGTGATTGAAGGTTCTTTTGTAAAACTGATCGAAGGAACGGAATACAGTGGCGGCCAACATATTTACAGTTTCAAAGTAACTCATAACTAGTTATCTATATTTAAATATGTGATAGTTTTAGTACTAACAGGTTTGGCGATCGATCGATGCCAAATGAATTGCATTTCAAATACTTCTATACCCGATCTAAATAATTTCAACTTGGCAAGCGGTTACAAATGGCTGGCGAATCAGCTCAGACAGTAAGAATACTATGATGTATCGGAGTTCTCGAACTTAAGTTACGAGTTTACGCACCTAACCTTGATATGCGCTGCAATAAGAGTATCCCTTGTTAGAAACTATTATCATAAAAATAAAGATCCGTCATGCCTGGATGAAGCTGCTTTAAATTGTCAGAGTTGTATTTAAAATTTTAACATCAACTATAAATTAAATCCGTCTAATGTTGTAAAACTTGCAATTAAGCGAAATGAAACTTTTTTCTACACATTCAACGTACACACGATTTAATATAAATACGTTCGAATTGTGCAGTGCATTCATTACCTGGCTTTGAGCTCGCAGTTGTCATGTCATCCATCAATAATTTTCATGGACGTACAAAGTACATGAATAAAAAATGAAATGACTATAAATAACATCATATATAACTGTAACTTTGATGTTTTGCATTGAATTATTTTTAGTAAATTGATATTTATAAGCTAGGTTGCTATAAAAATGACAAATTCTGCTGAACTCGCAGGTTTCTGGTGAGAACAGGATTATTTCATTGGTTAACGGAGACCCAGAAGGAGCTACATCGCTTCAATCAAAAGCTTATGGAGAATTATCAGATATCAATTGTAAAATGTTGAGACCCTTCGAAACATTTGCTGACGAAACATTGAATGTAGCTAAGAATTTAATTGACTTGAAATTAAAACAACAAAATCAAAGCACATTTGGCGATAAAAACTTGAACAACAGCTACTGGATGGAGATTAACTGGGAACACGCAGGTTCCGTTTGATCGATTTTTGGCTGTCATCAGTTCTAACCATCAATTTTTGTAATATATTTGTGTCTAGAAATTTTGTTTTGCCCAATCAGCATTTTCAGAGTTCTACATTTTTCTTGGTACCATGACTTCAAAATTCTGTTAAAAATTTTCGTGCCCTCAAAAATAATCATCTTCATATATACTTTAGTTAAAATGTTTTATGTTAAAACCAGCTCTTTCAACAAGTTTAGCCGGCAAATTATTATTGATGTAATTTGAATGTTTTTACCCTCTTTATTGGGGTTCCTCTTTTGTGGAAGTCCCTTGGGGGAAACACTGATCTACATATATAACTAACAGTAGGAGATTTCTTATACACAATCTGTATATCAATTTTAAGTGAAATTTTATTAATATAAACAATGATAGAGAAATTAAAATTTGTATGCAAATTTTAACAATTATTAAATTAACATACTTGTATGGCCCTAGGGATAACTTTTAACGACATGTTGAAGATAGTGGCAGAGCAAACAACTCACTTGTTCGGGTTAAGAAAGAAAGGGGAACTAATAATTGATCATTACAAATCTGTTGGAGCTGATCAGGTTTTTTTTCCTTTTTTATTCTGTAAAGTTTATACTGCGTTCATTCATGTCTTTAGGAACGATTTCCTCAAAAAATACCTGAAAATCATTATTTTAGTTGAATCTTAAAGCCATTTTGCTTTTAATCGATAGTGTTGTTTTGCATAAATTTATAATCAATATTTTGAGGCCGTATTTTGAAGCAACTTAGCATTTTAACTGAAATCTCGAAACCTATTCTGTTTTCAAATTATAGCTAACGCTACTCTTTAGGTATTGGCGTAACATGGTCATATTTTTTTATCCGAACTATTAGTTTTGCTCCCCAATTTTGAATTTATTGTATTAGTTTACTGTTGACTTTGAGCATCATTTAAGCAAACTGTTTCAGTAACCAACTCGACTGACCACAAAGCATTCATTAATGAATTTGAAAAAACTTCTAATGCAATTAATATGTCAAAGCTGAAATGAATATCTTTTGATGATATTATTAATAAGGTGACACATGGCGACTAAAAGCTTAAATTTTTCACCACTTCTGAAAATGGCACAACCACTGAACCTATCTTAATTCCTATATACGTCAATCTCAGAAGGCTACTGTTGAGTTCCAACCAACATAGCTTGCGTTTTATTTTCAATCAACGACCGCGATGAATACACATGAAGATAACCATGTTTTAGTTCATTTGCTTTACTTGAAGTATACAACAGAATAGGAGAGGGCCTTATATTAAGCACTGCAAAACTTAACTGCTAAAATCGGCGGCTACCGATGACTGTCCCCATTAAATCACTTCATAGGTTCGTTTAGAGACAAATGAGGTTATTCAATTACTTTTTGAGCCTTTTGTCTCTCAAACCAAAACATTTTAACAAACCAGATGCGATACAGTATCATGATTAACTCAGTCAGTCAAAAGCTGAACTCATATCTAGAAGTGCCAAGAGTGACACTTTTCTTGTAGGTAGCCTTATACGCATCTACCATTAACCGAGTTTGAAATCTTTGCTTATTTACTTTTATCTCATTTCTGATGCCAAAACCTAATCCAGCAATTCCCTTTCTTAAATCATACTATTTAATTTTTTAATATTTCTCACGAATGATACCTTTTAATTTCCAGTCCCATTCATTTCTAAAAGCGGCCGACGGCAAATCGCTTGATAACCTAATTCTGAATTTTCCAATCGTGAAGAAATTAGGAAGCCAAGTTAAGATTAATCTGAAGAAAGTTCACGTGCTGGGCAATAAGTAGATGTTGCCGGTACGACCACTTTGTAATAACACACCTGATAATTTTCCATTACGTATAAATGAATGAAAACGATATAAAAAAAAACACGAAATCGTATCAACTATGTGATAATCCTTTTACTGATGATCAAACAAAATTCGATTATGACAATTCTTTAAAAAGTCAATTAAAAAAGCATTAGCGTGTTACGTTTGTTATTGTTAATTGCGATATGTTACCGATAAAAATTAATATATATATATATCATATATATGATATATATATATTATATAACATATATATATATATATCATATAAAAGATATACATAAATATATATATGCTACTCATACTTTTTGTATATTTATTTAGACTTACTGTTGGCGCTTTTGAGATCTTTTTAAAAAAGCGGTTTATAAATTTTCTAATAAATAATAAAAATAATATAATATATATCACACACACACACACACCACATACACACACACACACACCACATACACACACACACACACATATATATATATATAAATTATTGATGAAATTCACAGCATGTTCCGCGTTAGTTAGCTTCCTGTTAAGTTTTTCGATTTTTCT